CACGGGCGGGCCAGAGGTCTCGATATAGTGGACGACATCGTGTTTCGCAGTTTCTCGGAATGACGCTGGTTTAGTGATGTCCGGATACTTTAACAATAAATCCTGATATGGATGATTTACATCAATAGTTTTAACACTAGGTTGAGATACATTGACAACAGATGCCGAAACATTCAATTCTGTAGTTTTATCTATTAATTTACGCGCGTTTAAATCAACTAATAGTTTGTGGTACGCTAAAAAATCGGCGCCCAAAATTGGTTGTTTGACATCTGCTACAACGAATTCCCAACGATAAGGTCGGCGTAAGTTTAAGTTTAACACTATTGTCTTGGTACCGTAAGTTGCGATTTCATTGCCGTTAGCTGCGTATAATTTATATTCACTACACTGATTTAGACGATCTTTTCTCACGGCTGGTAAAACAGACACATTGGCACCGGTGTCAACTAAAAATCTAAGTCCGGAGTTACTGTCTGACACACACAAACGATTGAATGGAAAAACGGTACAGACCTGAAGACCCTCGGACTGTACCTCGCTGCTCAGTTTTCCGGCTGTGTTGTTTTCCACGCGCAAGGCTTCGTACACCTGTTGGCCTTTTCTCGGAACCTGTAATGGTAAAAGCATAAGTAGTTCTCCTTCCGGGGACGGCAGGGACTGCTACGGCGCCTGGACTGTGAACGACGCCGGTTGCGATCAGGGGCGCGGGACCGCGACCTCTGCTGCTCGATCCGGTCCACGGTAGCCTTTATTTTAGCCACCTCAGCTTTCAACAGGGCCAAGTCATAGGCGGTAGTAGATGCTGGCGCTGGCACGGTGTAAGTAGCGGTGGCGGCATAGGAAGGCCGCACAGCCTCCATGACGTTATCTGCAACTGCTGCTAGGTTGTCCAGGTCCTTGGAGTCAGACGCAGTGAGCACGTTAACAGGCGGCACGTTCTGTGGCGTTGGCGGAAACGGCACACTCATGTTACTATATCTATTGTCCACCGATCACAACCACGCGAATATTGCCCACTACTGCATTAACATCACATAGACCACTTCGGTCATCTTGATCACGTCGGTACTATCACGTCGGTACTATCACGTCGGGGTCACCAGTTTAGGTGCTGACTCCATATGGGTGCCTATTGGTGACCATAATGAAAGATGAAATCTTTTACTAATATATTTATTATAGCGGAACGTGCCATACAGTTGGCGGGCAACTAGTGACTGGTTGAAAAATCTTATTCACTACATAATATAGTTACAATACAACATTGCGAAGTTTACATGTGTGTGCGCAGCACACCTACAATTTCATGGTCACTAACATTAGAATGATATTATTTATCGGGATATTTATCATTTATTATTATAGTGAATTATTTCTAGATATTTTGGTACTTGCAACAGTATCTAAATATCGCCAAACAATATTAATCTAATGTTTTATTACCTATATGTTCTTTTGCACGATAGTTCAAAATAGTCTTGACATTTTTTATTTCAGGTTTTTTGACGATTCTCCGGCTGAAAAAAAATCACACAACATCCATCTTCTGATTGTAGCTTAAATCATATAGATTTTGATTGTGATAACCATTTCTGTCCCTGGTTTGTTGAAAAAGATATTTTACCCCTACAGTCAGTTGATTCCAATATCACCGACTTAGCATATACCCCTCAAGCAAACACGCCTCGCTCTTATTACTCAGAAGCAACACCACAAGCTTCTTTAAAATGGGATTTCAAGCCAAGGAAAGATAAGGTAAATATCAGACGTCGACATGTTATGGAATGGAAGGACAATAAAAGAAAAATTCTAAGAAACTTGGGCAAGGAGTTTAAGAGTCGTGATGGTACTGTAAGAAACAGCAAATCTATGGGTCCTGTGTGTCATACAAACTGTAGACTGAAATTTTCATCAAAAATTAGCGATGAAGAAAGACTTATGATTTTTAATACTTTTCGGGGCTTAGGTAATCGTGAAAAGCAATGGGCTTTCATTTCAAAATTGGTTGTAAAACAAAAAACGCAGGGTGTTTACTGACACACAATCTAGACGCAATTTCACTTTAATTTATAGTCTATCAAGGGCAGATATAGACAATCAAGAAAACTATTTAACTGTGTGTAATAAAATGTTTCTGAATACTTTTTCAATTAGTGAACAATTTGTATACACATCCCTGGAAAAAAGAAACAATATAAGTGGTTTGATAGGAACTGACATGCGAGGACGTCATCCTAACCATCGTAAAGTAATAACAGAGGATATTATCAAAAGTGTATGCGATCATATAAAATCACTTCAGCCTGTAGAATTCCATTACACCCGCAGTAGAGGTAATAAACTATACTTAGACGGAGACCTGAATTTTCATCGCTTATTTGATTTATATAATGAGTGGTTTGACACACTCGCAAACTCCTTAAAAGCTAGTACGGAACGGAAATATCGCGACATCGCTAACAAACATTTTAAGATAAGTTTCCACGTGCCAAAAAAAGATCAATGTGACAAATGCCACATTTACAAGAACCTGTCTATTCCTACATTAACACAAACAGAATTACACGAAGAACATATTAAAAATAAAGAAATATCTTGTAAAAAGAAGTCGGCCTATAAAGAATTAGCCAAATCTTCTAATAATAAACTATTAGTAACTACTTTTGACTTAAAAAAGTTCTTACTTGTCCGTATGGTAATATAAGCGTTTTTTACTATAAACGAAAGCTTTCGGTATTCAATTTCACTGTTTTTATTTAAACGAAAAAGAAGGTACTTGTTTTATGTGGCATGAGGGGCAAGAAAAACGTGGGGCCAATGAGGTAGCAAGTTGTTTATTTAAATACATCTCCAAATGTAAGGATCAGGGTACAAGTGAGTTTAGGTTTTGGTCTGACAATTGTGTAGGCCAAAACTGAAATCGTATTTTTTATGCTATGTACATGCACGCGACCATTACATATCAGATTAAAATACACCATTGTTTTTGAGAAATTGGTCATACGCAAAATAAGGGCGACAGCGTCCACGCTTTAATAGAGAGGTCCGCAAAAACAAACTCATTTATACACCATTTGAGTGGTATGGTTTAGTTCGTTGGGCTAAGCAAAACGGAAGCCTTACGCGATTGAGGAAATGCAATACACCGACTTTTCCAATTATAAGGCATTACTAAAGGGCGCTTGGGTCAAAAGTACCAACGGGGATAAAGTGCAATGGAATAAAATAAGAGAGGTGTGCATAAAACCTGAAGACCCCTTTAAGTTGTTATATTATTATAAATATGATAACTCATCTTAAAATTGCTGTACTGGGAAGTTCATAAAGTGCAGTTACGATATTATACGTAGGAGGTGTCGATATATATATATATATATATATATATATATATATATATATATATATATATATATATATATATATATATATATATATATATATATATATATATATATATTTTATAAAATTTAGTGTCCAGGGAGTTTCGGGAGCAATAAATTGATCTAGCTAGGATTTATTTTTAGAAAATTTTTTTTTGTCAGTCTTTTCAGGCAATGAAAAACTGATACAATATAAGAAGGTAAATTTTGACACTGTGTTAATGATCGTAATAGCTCAAGTGGATATCGAGCGGCGGCGAAATCTTAATGTCTTAATCCAATGTCCCGTCTTTGGTCCGGTTTTTTTTTCCTTTTTTTTTAAAGTTACCTTCTTTTGTGAGAAAATCTATTATTTCGAGCCCTTTTTTTAGTATTTTTTAAAAATACGAAAATTTTAATTAAACTAATTGCACTCATGATTTTTTATTCAAATAACCAGTTAATTTTTTTTGTATTATATCAATAAGATCAAAAAATATTGTTCATCAGTATGTAATTCGTATTTAAACGTAATTTCAAAATAAAAACCGATTAAAGCTCGGTTATCCGGGTACTTACTTTAAAAAAAAAACTATTTTTTACGGATTTTGTTACGTATATTAACTTATTTTTATTCCAGATATTTTTTCGTTTTTTTTTTTCGTTTAGTTATTTGATTTTAATCTGAAGGTAGCGTTTGTTAACTTAGACATTGGGACGTCGAACACCTCACTCCCTCCCCTCCGTGACCATGGGTGCTGTGAAGTACTGGAAATCTCGGGAATACCAGCGTAAAATAGTAGCTTAATGCTGCTGTGTACCGTATGATGAATGTGGAGAACCGGAGACCCTTTTTACTGGAAACGAGCATTCCATCTTGATCCTCACGGGTAACAACGCATCTGCATTTTGATTCGTAATCGAGGATAGATGTAGATGTCTATAGGCCACAGCAACCACTTACCATCAGGTGGACTGTGTGCTCGTTTGTCACCCTATCCTGTAAAATAAAAGAATATAAAATAAGTTAATGTGCGCTATAAAATCCATAAAAACTAGTTTTATTTTAATGTGTAAAGATTGCGTAAACATTAGAAGTTGTTAACCAAATTACCACCATAAACCAAATAAAATATCTTTTCGCCGTACTTACTTTGAGCGAAGCAATTTTGCCTTCTGAAACACAGTTATTCTTACTCAGCGGCTATGGAATCAATTTATTTTTGTAAAAGGATTTGTAAGGAAATCCAGTAAGGAAATCCATCGCCCCATTTTATCTCGTCAGTGTCGTAAATAGCGACTATGGGAAATGGCAGAAAAATTATACAGCTTCCGATAGATGGTGCTATTATCATCATACCAGACAACTTACACCAGACATAAAATGATGATATTACTATGATAAAATAACCAGACAGTTGTTAACAGCAGCGTCAAAGATGATAGACGTCTGGTACTCGATCATCAATGAGGGCATTCACGACTTTTTCTGCCACCAGGGCGGCGCCACTTAAAATAATGTATAATATTTTAAGTGCAACTACAACATACAAGAGCAAACGAAAGGAGCGAAGTTATAATGGTTCCACATATGAAAATGGAACCCTAAAATGTTGCAATATTGTTTTTATCCTCCAGGATGACGTGCGAGGTGCTCTCGGATCTTTTCTGCAGGCTTTCATCACCCTCGGATTCTTGTTAGTGTATGGCATCGGTCCCTTCACCTCGTACAGCATAGTGGCCTACGTCGGCGTGGCATTTGTGGCAGTGTTCGCGATCTGTTTCTATTTTATGCCAGAGTCGCCCATGTACCATCTTATTAATAGTAAGTATTATTTATATTTTTGTTTCCTTTTTTTAGGTATTTAATTTTTCACTATCATACAGTTTCATTTTTTCATAGATAATTACATAGATCATAGATAAATTATTTAAGACGTGAAAAACCTAGCCGTATTCACAACGAATGTTAAATATGTTACGTAATCGTTATTATTCGACGTACGTTTATCTTAACTACAACAACAACAACAACAACAACAACAATGAAACAACCCGCCCTTAATAAGAAAAGTTACTGTGATATTTTATACTGCTATTTAGTTTAAAATAGGTGAAGGGAAGTAGTAAGACCACTTCTTTACAAATTCTTCCCAGATTATCAGTGTAAAATAGCAGCTTAGTGCTGCAGTGTTTCGTTTTATGAGTTTAGAGAACCTGAGACGCCTTTTGCTGGCAAACAAAGCATTCCATCTGAGTCCTCAGGAGTGACTACGCATCTGCATTTTGATTTTTAATCTAGGATTGTTGTAGGATATGGGCCGCAACCTCCACTTACCATCAAGAGGACTATGTGCCCGTCAGTCACCTTTATTCTATAAAAACTAACAAAAAAAAAACGAACGAAACTCGTAGTTGTACACATACAACATAAGCTACAACATAAAAGGTCAGTGTAAAATAACGTCAGTGTAACTGTAATTTATTAAGAGACATATAAAGTCCTTACAACGAATATTTGCCATATTTTTGTTAGATAAAAGTTGAGAAATGGGCATAATTTTTTTATAAATACAGATTTCATTACTATATTATGTTTCGCTAACAGTAAGTAGGGTTTATAAATGTCTATTTGTCTCGAATTATGGAATGACCTGAAGATGTACACGAGTAGAACTTGGTATGCCGAGTTTGGGCTCGGTTTGTAAGCTATGATGAGACCTTATGGAGGACCTCAAGACTTGATGGAGTAACCTGAAGGTGTGCTTCGGTCACTGCTAATGGAACTCCTCGACTAGGTGTGTCAAGTTTTCGCTCGTTTTGTTAATTGTGATGAGATCTTACCTCCGGACTCGATGGATTGACCTGAGGTTGTACTTCGGTGACTGATAATGGAACTCCTTGACGAGCATAACTAGGAGTGCCGAGTTTGGGCTCGTGTTGTTAGTTAAGATGAAAATTTACTTCCGTCTTATCATAACTAACAGAACCCGCACTAAGTCCACAGCCTACATCTCTCTAATTGTAGAGGGCTTCCGGTGCCTAGCAGTCTCTGGAGTAGGTACTTGTATCTTTTATTATTTAGTAAAATAAGAAATCTAACTAAAAAATCTAAGTTTCAAAGTATCCAAATGGTTTCACTAGATTACGAATCTCGTTTCTGGTTACATATATAGATATTATTTTATATAAAAGGGAAATTAATTATAAATAAATAACATAATATTAAGAAGATGGGGGGAAGCGTTACACAAGGATAATTCGCGAGGCTATTGAAATAAAAAAACATCCTTATTTTAATAAAGAAGATGGCTGGGTGCAACCATCGGCTTGGGATCCTATAATTAAAAAAAATTAATGCCAATCCGAGCACACGACTGAAAAACCTCAAGATACTATAAGTTCATACTGAGTAAATCGGAACAAAAATTAATAATTTTATTTATTTCCGCGAATCGTGCGTACGCTTGTGTGTGTGTGACCAGTTTCAATGTAGTAGATCGATTCTATACCTATCTATTTGGCAAACGTGTCCTTAATAATGCGTATTTAATTATTTTCGACTACATTGATGATGTTCTCACTTTGTTTATATGAATGAAGTCGGTTGTACAAAAGTTTTAATTTTACCTCTGGTTTATTGTACACTTCTAAAATTTATTCTTGTGCCAATGTTACCCACAAAGTAAAACTAGATCGATGAGTTTCCTCTTGTAGAGACATCAAAGCTCCAGCCTCTGCTGCTCTGGTATGTAATGATTAACTGTAACGTATGTACTTAAAGTTGAAGTAAAATTACAGCTTATTTGGGTTTTCTGGGTAGATGTCTTCTCCTATTTTTGAGAATGTTTTAGGGCAAAGAATGTCGTTTTCTTATTTCTCAGACATGCAGTTTTCCTCAAGATGTTTTCCTTCACCGCCGAGTACGTGGTATATTAGTCAAGATTTAAGATTGTAATTAACAATTTCATTGGTGGATCGCGCGATGAAATTTACAGCGATCGTTTAGCCTTTGAGCTACCACAGCTCGAATATTTACTGATGAAATAAATAAAATGTCTTTTAACAGATGAGCGAGAGTTGGCAGCAGAATGCTTGATGTGTATACGTGGACGATCCCGCGCGGGGGTTGAATACGAGCTGAACCAAATGGCTGCTGATATCAGCGCTTCAATGAAAAAGACTGCAACGGTCAGTTTAAATCATATATTCCCAGTTTTCTTTATTGAGAAACGACGTAATTCTTTTTCTATTTACTTTATCACAGTTAAAAAGCGTTTATATGGTAATGTAATTATGAAGGTCTAGAACCTCCTTCCGTATTTTTGTAATATTAACGTGGCGACGTAAGAGAATCCAGTCATCCCGTGGGTATCGTAAGAAACGACAGAGCGGAACCGAAGCAGGAGATGAGCTGCAGCATCTTGATACTAGAACTTAAAATAACAATAAACTGCGGTTGCCAACACGCAAAGCATGGCAACTATGTTATATAGTATAAATAAAATATTTGGTGGAGGCCTGGGTTCAGCTGTGGACTTGGGCTTTCGATTTTTCTGCCAAGTCCATTAACGTCTGTACGTGTATTGATGTTCTGGTATAAAGTGTTATAGGTCAGGAGTTCCCAAATTTTTAAGATAATGGAATACTCCCACAAAATGATTAGATACTTAAGCAGTGTATTCGAAATATTATTTTCGATAACTGTCAATGTGTCTACATAGCTGTAAATGGTCTTTTCTCGTTATATATTTTGCTGTTTCAAAAATAACTTTTGTACCTTAGTGTTAATTATTTAACAAGAAAAAATAAATAACTTCGCGGAACCTTGGCGACACTTTCACGGAATCTTTAGGCGCCGCGAACCCACTTTAAGAATTTCTGGTTTGGATAGTCAAATTTCAGGCTTTATAAGATAATTAATTATTTCATCAAAGTAACTTACCTGTAAGTGTGCAATGTCGATCAAAATTATATGAAGTTGGTGCGTCCTCTGTGTTTGTGTACAATGTAGCCGTGAATTGACGGACCGAATCACACGAGTTTTAACCTTCTGGGGGAAAATACCTTTATAAACCTCTCCCTCTGGCAACATTTATACACATCATGTCATTGTGAATTTATATCCACTAGAATAAGGATTTTTTTTAAATACAAGCAAGCTCTAAGGGTGGGTAATAATATACAGCAGGGGTAGTGTTGTACATAGAGGACACGTCAACTTCATATAATTTTGATTGAAGGACACTTACAGTTTAAGTTACTTTGATCAAATTATTGTAATTTTTTGACGTATTTTAATACTACGAATATTATTTACTATCATAAAGTTTTTGTCCATTGTTATAATTAATAATATTTACCTAAACAAACAATAAATATAGTATGATTTATTGTTGTATAGAAAAGTTTCCTTCATACTAACTAATGCTACTACTAAGACCTTTTTAAAACTACTAACCTTAACCTAGAAAGCAATTTGAAAACTATTGGTTACTTAGAGGACAGATACGTACAACAGGACGCAAATATGATCCGGTTGCGGTCTTAACACGAACTATCCTCTTTACTCCATAGGATCCAGGAAAAAACTCTTCAACGATTCCTAATGGCCAATGAAGAGGCGATGCGTTCCTTTTAGTGGGAATAACTACAGTTCCGACCGTTAATGGGATAACTCCTGTATACCATTTTTGCCGCGACTGTAACGTACGCAGATGTTCCGTCCTCCAACGCTTCTAAAATATCTGCGCAAACGTGTCCTATAAGGTATGACGTAAAAGAAATAAAGTAGGTACTTCAAAGGCGTAAGATTGAAAAAATGTGCCAGGATGAAAGTTGGGGGCTACTATACAGTTATTTAGAAAAATATAGTATTTTGTTAAACGAACAAAAAGGATTTCGCAAGGGTACATCTATAAATACAGCTATTTATGACTTAATTAAACCTATTTTAAACAGTATGGATAAAAGAAATCCAATATGTTGCTGTCTTTATGCATATGAGCAAGGCTTTTGACCGTGTTGGCCATAAGACACTTATTCAAAAACTTAATTTGTATGTCATAAGAGGTAATGCGCTAGACCTCATTTCTTTATATATCTACAATAGTAAACAAATAAGAGAAATTACACAAATATGCCAGAAAACACGAAATGAAATCAAATATAGATCTAAGACTAGAACCATACAATTTGGAGTCCCAAAATGTAGTATCCTAGGTCCCTTACTGTTTATGGTCTACACAAATGATCTCTCTAGATATGTCGAACATCTAATGGTGCTTTTTGCAGATGATAGCACAGTATTGATAACATCTGATAGGAAAGAGATAACAAACATGAAGTCAATAAAACATTAAATGCAATAATTCAATGGTTACTAAAAACAATCTTGAAATAAATATGTACAAAAAAATAATGCTCTTTTATGAAACAACACAACCCAATACAATAAATGTTAGTTATCAATACAGTACACCCAGTGACAAATAAAAAATTTCTAGGAATTAATATTGACTATGACCTATCATGGAAAATACATCTAGATAATGTCTGCAAAAGTTAATCAGTCCTCATTTGCTCTTTACAAATTTCCAAGATTGTCAATAAAGAAGCCGTTTTAATAGCCTATCACGGACTTGTTGCACCTTTCCTAAGACATGGTGTAATCTTTTGGGACAACTTGGTAAATAAGGAATTTGCATTCAAAGCTAAGAATAAATGCATTATAGCAATGCCCAATCTAGATAATACTACAAGCTGTCAACCATAGTTTAAACACTTAAAAATTCTGAAATTGCCTTCGATATATATCTACGAAATAAATCTATTTGTGACATCAAATCCAAGCGTTTAAAAGCCTGCTTTTAAAAGATATTATACATAGAAATACCATATGGAGATACAGCACTACTCAATAAAAGCATTCTTTATATGGCATCACTGATTCAGAACAAACTGCCAGACGATGTCAGAAAGTTACCTATTTAACGATTTAAGATGATATTATACAAAAAAAGGTTCTGATTAATAAATGTTATTACAATGTCAAAGAATACCTAGAGTATAAAAGTATTTTAGTTTAATAACATAGGTTTGTATTTAATTGTAACTTAATATTAATAATAATTTGAATTTAATCATAATTTAATAATAGTAATTGATACATTTGCCTTAAATAATATGTGACACATTGTAATAATTTAATAATTTGATAAGATTAATATAATAAACTATAATTTTGACATTTAATTTGTATGAAAATATTTTATATTTTATTGAACGTATTATCAAAAATATTTAATTTCGAGTATATTTAACTTTAAGGTCTTTAGTATGACAACAATTAATCGGAGTCAATAGTGACTCAACTCAACTATTGACAGTATTTTTCCGATTTTTTTTTCTTCTTACTCTTCATTTAATTTTAAAGCACCATTAATGAATTAGTTATGTGCAGCAGCAGTTATGTATTTTAGTGTATTTGTACACCTCATAGGTAATAATAATACAGTGTACATATTTCAATATTATTTGATTTGATTTGATTAATTGATAGATTTGAAGTCAAATTATGAAAATATATATACAAAGGTCCTGAATGTGCTAAAGTTTATTAAACAACTCCTCATTTAAATTGAGATAACACACGTCAGCATAATCGAAAATTAGTAAAAGAAGTGATTGTGCAAGCGCAATTTTGGTGGTATTTGTAAAAAATTGCTTAATAGATTAATTGATGATAAGATAAAATAATTACGTCTGTTAGATTTCTCCGTAGACGTAGAGATCCGACAGACGTAAGTAAACACACTCGTACTCACTTCCCTTACCTGTGGAGCCCAAGATAAAAAATTGTCAAAAGTAACACCTAGATTTTTAACAGTGTCACTATATGGCACGGGTGTCCCATCAAAAACAATAACAGGTATAGAAGAAAAATCTATTAGAGTAATCAATTTTGACTGCCTATTATGATTGCTTTTGTTTTAGATGGATTTACTTTAAGACCGTCTGACTTAGTCATATCCACGATTAAGTCAAGATCTTTGTTTAATAAGCCTTTTAGTATTGGACAAATTCATCAATGTGGCATGCACACATACTTGGAGGCCATCTGCACATTGGTGGTAGCGAGAAGGTAATTGGAGCGTAATCGAACTTATTAAGATTGAAAAGAAATTTTTGAAATTAAATGAAGAATAAGGAGAAGAAACAACATGCCACCTTGCGGTATACCGGCAATAATCGTATACCAGTTAGAGAACGAGTCATCAACACACATGATCACATCAAACACATGTCCGTTGACAGTGACCAAATAAGTAAATGTAAAACCAGTCAATCACTTCAGGAGATATGTTAAGACAAGCTAACAGTAAATCGGAATCCACATTGTTAAATGCATTGCTAAAGTCAGGTAAGGTCAACACTGTTACGTGCTGTTTATTCACACTAAGACAAATATTTTCTGTAATCTTGACTAAGACAGTAGGGGTATTATTCCCAGCATGGAAACTGGAATAGAAAGAATTGAAAATACTCCACCTAGATAAGTAGAGCCTCAATTGTCGATGAGCTATACGTTCAAAAACTTTCGAAAGGAATAGAATTATGGATATGGGGCGATAGTCAGAGAAACTGGAGCATTTTTTTATGGGAATAGGAGTAATCTGGGCTTCATTCCATGAAGAGGGAAAATTTTCGAACGAAATGAAATAATTAAAGATGGGTTTTATAACAGGAGTTAAGTTGTCGATAATAGGAATAATCATTTTACGACTTATGCGGTCTGTACCAATGGCATCAGAATTGACCTTAATTATGTTTTTCTTAATATCACTATCGGTTATTTGACTAAAAATAAAATCAAGATTATCAGATTTGGGTAAAGCTGACATACGAGTTTTAATTTCTATTGTTGTGACATCATCTATAGCATAAGAAGAAGGGAAATGCTGATTTAGCTGGTTTAAGTTAACATTTTTGGAGCTACTATTTTGACTCGCTTTGCTAATTCCAAGAGATGTAAAAAATTTCCATACTCTGCCAGGATCATCTTCTTGAGTATAGATTTATGAATATAGCGTCATTGTTTATCTCTACACAACTTGTTGCAGTTGATTCCGAATATTTTTATATCAGATACCTGACTTTGGCAGATTTTTTTTTCTTGCAGATATTGATCTTCTTTGTAATCCAGGGACCAGGCAAATGCTTTAGCCAGACAGACTGGTTTGGAGCATGAACGTCGTAGATTTGTGTTAAGAGAGAATTAAAGCTATTGACTCTTTTATCGATTTAGCTCCAGTAAGAACAACATTCCAGTCGATCATCGCAGCATCAACTCTCAGACGATCTAAATCCATACCATTAAAAATTAAGCATCAGGAGGATTTAGGTTTAGGTGTTCGTATTTTGCATGACTATTAAATCAAGTCCTGATATGAAAATGCATCAGCAGGACGCTGACCATGTTTATCACCATGATCAATGGAAGAAACCAGAATAAAATCCAGAAGAGATGGAGAACAATTTGAAAAAGTGAGAAGCAGAAAGAGGGAGAAGATGTAAGTTAGCTGCTTGATCTTGCTTAGATTTCAATCGAAAGGAACGCGAGTCACTTTTTAGAAGGCACGTGTTAAAATCACCTATGATGATAGTGTTGACACGGTGGAATATATTTGTCTATGAGGCTTTAAAACGGAGGAAAGTAGTCAACTAAAAAGCTAGAATTGCAAAACACGCCAAGTAGTGGTTAGGCACCAGAAAATAAACTTCGATAATTAAGTGTTCAACTCCTGAAGTGCCCTGGTCAGTTGACATGACATTTGTAAATAGTAAGTGTGAGCGAAGGTAGATAGCAACACCTCCACCAACCCAAGTAATACGATCATTCCATATTAGTTGAAAACCTGGAAGAGCATATGATGTGGAGGACAAACAAGGCTTAAGCCAAGATTCTAAAATCAAAATAGCGTGTATGTTTTTGTTATCAAATGAGAATAACATGTCTGAATATTATATTGGAATACTGTGGGCATTAATATGGACAATGTTGAAATTTTTCAGTACATCTGAGAAGTGCAAATCTAATGTTTGATTAAGAGAAGGGAGACTGTAGAAACTATTACTACTATTCAATTCATCAGAGGATAAAGGTAAAGAAAAGGAGTCGACTAGGCTTATATCTTTAGAACACATATTGTACGTAAAATATTAATGCTAAATATATAATAAATAAAATAGGATATAAAATAATAAAAAGACAGGACAACAAATTGTCATTACCACTCGTATCAAAACAACAGAAAAAGTTGTAAAATGAGTCATCATGAGACAGGGGAAGATGACATATTAAATTTTAATATTATTTCTAAAGCATACTACAAACATAAACACAAAATAAAAAGTCACAAAGTCAAAAAATAAAAATTAAATTACTCAGAAAATATTATCGAAATACAGGAACTTATAGCAAAAATGAAAAATTTAAAATTAAGGTTAGTCAGTGGTTAACTATCAAAATGACATTGTCATTCAGGATTCTACAACTGTCGCATTATTAGTTATAGAGCTTATCTATGGTTATAGTTTTCGGTATGACATAGTATATTTGAGCTATAATGTAAAAGCATGTTAATGTTATGATGTAAAAAATGCATGATAAGAATATTCTGGTAAGGCGAAGACTGAAACAAGGAACTATTATTAGTGTTCTGTAATCTATGAGCATAAATTATGATTATAAATTTATTAAATCACTACATGAATGTATTGTAAAACAAAAACTAGAACTCAATAAACACTACATTTTGTTCAAATACAAACTAAAATCCAATTTAAATATTATCTTATTTCTTTCAGGCTTTTAGCCACCTGTACAGAACTTTGAACCTGAAATTTTGCTATATGTTCCGACCTTGACCCACCGGGAATGCTCTCAAGCTCGCGCAAACATTCCACTTGGTGGTGGATCCAACACTTAGTGATTGCAAAACGCTTCCAAGCTTTCAGAAACACAGCATTCCGAAACTTTGTCAAAAAAAGTGACAAAAACATCTCAGACATTGCAGAAAATCATTGCTTCAATGGGTCCATACTGGGTCGATTACATTTAGAGAATTTGAAAAGCAATTTTTTCTTTAATTCAAGATTGAAATAAACAGAATCTTTATCTTCTTCATCACTTCAGCAAATAAAATGTCTTCTCTTTTGTCCCGAAAATAAGTAAGATCAGTTTTGAAATTAGTTTCTTGTACAAGCCAGTAGTACCGCGAGTACAAGAACCCTTGCATACATTTTTGTAGTAAAAAACATACATAATATATTCATGGAAATAGAATCCAATGCCTCCTGTAACCACACGTGGCACCGCAAGGCAGATATGTAATGTACAGACACTCGTTCTGTATCATATTCATTTTATTATATATATTATTATATCAATTTTAATTTGAAATTTTATTACGATATAATAAATGATATTATTTTCTATTTATTTTTAATATCATCGATTGTAAGTGATTTGAAGATTTTTAACAAATAAGTTCTACTTATAACAAATAAGTTGTGCGTGTTTCCAGTGATAACCTATGGAACTGAGACGTAGTCCTTCACTTCTGGCCGTATGAAGACCCGCAAATTCGCTCAGCGAACTATGGAGAGGGCTATGCTCGGAGTTTCTCTGCGTGATAAACTTAGAAATGAGGATATCCGCAGTAGAACCAGAGTGACCGACATAGCCCAACGGATTAGTAAGCTGAAGTGGCAATGGGCCGGCCATATAGCTCGAAGAACCGACAACCGTTGGGGAAAATAGGTTCTCGAGTGGCAGCCTCGTACCGGTAGACGAAGTGTAGGGCGACCCCCCACTAGATGGAGTGACGATCTAGTAAGACATGCAGAATAAGTTGCATACTTTGGGTGAGGCCTATATTCAGCAGTGGACTTGTAAAGGGTTGTAATGATGATGATGATGATGACATAAAAATTATATACTTACAGACGCTCGAACTGTCTCATATATACATTTAACATTTCGCGTTATAATTAATCAACCCTACAAATTATTAAAATGCAAAAATTATATACACTGCAATCGTCCAAAACGTATATGAGTGTTTCAATAAGTTTTCACCTTTAGCTAATAATAATAAAATCTTTAAAAAATCTATTTTAAAATTTTTAATTTGAGGATGGGACTCACTGATTCGGCTTGAAAAATTCACAATGACATGTAGTGTTGCCAGTGGAGTTCATATGTTGGTACGAATACACCAGTAAAAATCTTGTTTTTCCCCCGGAAGGTTACTCGTGTAATTCGGTCCTACAATTCATGACAACGTAGTGTACAAACACAGAAGAGGTGTTAACGGATATAATCAGATATACCTATCTCAGTGCTCAAAGATGATAACACATTAATCTTTTTTTGTTTAAAGTTGGTTGCAGGCATATATTGAGTGCAATAGGTGTGTGGTCGTGGGATCGTGATTCACTTTATTTTTATAAAAAGAAAATTAGAGCTTCATCAGCGCTTGCCACTCCCAGCACTGCTCAAATATAAGTAAAGTAAGGATTAATCAGAAGCTGTCATTAGGACTCGCGACAGAAGTAGAAACTTAATAATGGAATAATTTTTCAAGTGGTCAACATCTTTGCACTTTTTGCACTTACTGCTATTACAGCATGTCGGTGACGCAAAATTACAAGATTTTACCCTTCCAAGAAGTCAAACGTGCATATGATAAAGTTCGAGTTAATACAATGTATTAGTGTATAGAGTCGCTATACCTACTATACGTTGCTAGTCTGCCGCAAGCGCAATACGTTTCGAGCGAGCCAAGGTCTTTGGTGAAGCGAACCCAAAATTTTTGGCCTACCAAAAATCGCTCAACGCGGCTAAAGAAATTTTCTTCTCAACTTCAAAAAACCTCCGAAGATTAAGATTGCATATCTCACTGTTTTAAATTATACTGTATCCCTTACTCATCAATCCGTAACCGAGCAGTAAACAGTACTGTTTGGTGGTAGACATTGGATGAAAAACAGACACTCAGATTTTTTAATAAAACCGAAGTGACAAACGAACTTATAGTCGTAATATATATATTGGTACTGGGGGTGGTGTCTACTGTAGTCCGTTGACTTCTGAAACCAGCTTCAAGCAAAGACGGCTGGAGGTGGATTTTCACCTCTAAAGACTTAGATGGAATGCTTTAACTACTGTAATTATACCTGCTATACAGACCCTTCCGATGGGGACACAGAAGTGTAACACTGCTCTTTGGCTGCAGGGTTAAGTAAGAAGGTGGAATCTACCCAGATGGACTTTCCCGCACCGTTCTGCCACCTACGTGTAGTAGTAGATATTATAAAAAATACCAGCTGAAGCCAATCCGCCTACCAATCGTGGGTACTATGCCAAATATCTCCTGTGACGCAATTTATGGAGGACGCATATTTTTTGCAGTGGACTTCTGAGTGGCTATAATAAATGAAAGAATCAAAATTATCTGCTTCAGCCACAGCTAGCAGACGTCTTCCGTGGAAGCAACTTCAAGGCCTTCTACATATCATGTGCGTTAGTGTTCTTCCAGCAGTTCAGCGGGATCACCGCTGTCCTCTTCTACCTGAACACCATATTTAGCGTAACAGGTTCTGATATAGACCCGTCGATCGCTACAATTATCATTGGTGGCGTACAAGTAAGTTGAGTGATCCTTCATTTTTTAGGTAAAATTCATGAATTTTTACACATATTGACACTGCTTCCTGTCGCTAGTCTAGATAGAATGAGCTCAGCGTTATTTCTTTAAAAAATTGTTTTAGATAATTCCTGTCAGAAAATCGGCCAACTTGACAACACTCCATTTAATGATTTTTTAAATTTACGTGAATAATACACATTGAATAATTAATATAGTTACGAGTTAGTGAAACGCATTCTTACATTTCTTTACCTTTTGAAGACTATTTACATATAAGAATGAAATTAATCATCACATATATATATATATATATATATATATATATATATATATATATATATATATATATAGCAAATTTTATATGGTTTTGATTACCCTTAACTGAGACGCGCATCGGTAAAGCGGGGTCTTTGACTAAATACTTACTTCCCCGCAATGTAGAGGTACAAAACCAAATATAAGTACTTGACTTGCAAATAAAAATTAGTTATATTTTATGGTCGAGTTTTCTGAAGTAAAGTAGTTTAAACCACAGGGTTTTTGTGACACGTTGTATTTGTACTCTACGCATTAAGCTTTGGATAACAATACCCCACATGTTGAAGTAAAAAAGTTTTCATATACTTATCCTTTATTATACTCACGCTTGTATAATATACTCATTCTACGCTGAATTTCCGAATTTTCGGGCTGTATTTATTCCGTTTACGAGATATATATCAGTGACGGACAGACAGACAGCCAGACAGCAGAATGACATTAATAAGGTTCCATTTTACCCTTTTAGTACGGGACCCTAAAAATAGATACGTTTTATTCAATATAGATTATAAATAATACTTACTAACTAGACTTACTGACAAAGTCTAACTTACTGCTGATTTGAGAAATTCTTATACGACTTAGGTATTTCATTATTATTATGAACAGAAAAATATTATTGTCCATCTTTTGTTCCTTTTCCCTCTGTTGTATCTTACGACACCCAAGGGATGATAATCTTCGAGTAATCGTGCAATCTTCTAGGAGCCACCCGATGGGTGAGCCATATGTTCAGTACTAATACTAATACTATATAAATAATACTATACAGTACGACTAGAATGGAATGCATTGAATGTTTTTTTTTCTTCAGGTGGTGGCTTCAATGATAACACCGCTGGTGGCTGATAGACTAGGAAGACGTATCCTGTTATTAGTATCCACTTGTGGCACTGCTATTGGACTGGCGAGTGCATAAATATATATTCCATTTCATTTTGTTTCATATATATATTCCTTGTTCGTTTTTTTTTTGGGTGACTAATAAACACACTGTCTATCTAAAGATAAGCAGTTGCTTTGGCCTCTCTTTCTCTGTGGTCTGTTTTTTTATAGCATTGAGTGACAAACGAGCACGCAGTCAACCTGATGGTAAGTGGATGCTGTGGCCTATAGACTTCAACATTTATCCTCAATTAAGAATCAAAATGCGAATGCGTTGTTACCCCTGAGGACTAAGACGGAATGCCTCGATTCCAGTAAATAGAATCTTCGGTTCCCTATACTCACCGCATGAAACACAGCAGAATCACACTGCTATTTCACGCTGGTATTCTGTGAGAGCTTGGTCCTGTCCGGTCGAGCCGACCTAATCATGTTATAAATATAATATAGCTGCAGCGTGGTTCTACCTCCTTAATAATCTATCATCATTATCATAATTACAGCCCTTCACAAGTCCACTGCTGAACAGGCCTACTCCCTCAAGTAACGCCACAAGGCACGGTCCTGAGCCACCTGCATCCATCGACTTCCTGCATGTCTTACCAGGTCGTCACTCCATCTAGTGGGGGTCGCCCTACACTACGCCTACCGGTACGAGGCTGCCACTCGAGAACCTTTCTTCCCCTTCGGTTATCGGTTCTTCGAGCTATATGGCCGGCCCATTGCCACTTCATAATATCTTACTAATCCGTTGTGCTATGTCGGTCACTTTGGTTTTGCTGCGGATATATTCATTTCTGAGTCTATCACGCAGAGAAACTCAGAGCATAGCCCTCTCCATAGCTCGCTGAGCAACCTTGAGCGTCATCATACGGCCAGCAGTGAAGGACCACGTCTCAGATTCGTAAGTCATCACTGGCAACACGCACTTGTTATCCACTTTAGTTTTCAGAGTTTGAGGTATACCTGACGAGAAGATGTGTCGTAATTTCCCGAACGCTGCCCAGCCGAGTTGAATCCGTCGATTGACCTCTCGGTCGAAGTTGGACTTACCTAGTCGGACTATTTGTCCCAGGTAAACGTATTCATCAACAACTTCGAGCATAGTGCTCCCAACAACTACCGGCATAGGTGTGACATGGACATTAAACATGATCTTTGTTTTGTCCATGTTTATCTTAAGACCTACCCGTTGGGAGACACCATTGAGATCATTGAGCATAGCGCTAAGGTTCCTCCAGCGATTCTGCCATAAGGAATATATCGTCGGCAAATCGAAGGTGAGTGATGTACTCGCCATTGATGTTAATACCGTATCCTTTCCAGTCCAGTAGCTTGGAAACGTCTTCCAACACAGCGATGAAGAGTTTCGGGGATGTAACGTCACCCTGTCTTACACCTCTCTGCAGTTGGATAGGTTTCGAACTCTGGTTCTGTACTCGGATAGCCATCGTAGCCCTACTGCACAAACACTTCAGCACCTCGATATACCGACAGTCAACTTGGCACCGCTGAAGGGACTGTAGCACCGCCCAAATTTCGACGGAATCAAAGGCTTTCTCATAGTCCACATACGCCAGGCAAAGTGGCAGATTGTACTCTTCGATCTTCTGTACAATCTGCCGCAGGGTATGTATGTGGTCTATGGTACTGAAGCCTTTTCAGAAACTGGCTTGTTCGGGAGGCTGGAATTCGTCAAGTCTGCGTGCGAGACGATTCGTAATGACTCTCGAAAGTAACATGTAGACGCGGCTCAGAAGGGGAATCGGTCTGTAGTCCTTCAAGAGAGCGTTGTCGCCTTTCTTAAAGAACAAGACCACCGCGCTTCTGCTCCACGCCTTCGGAGTAATGCCACCATGGAGGACGGAATCGAAGAGCTTCTGAAGGGTTTCAAGTACCGGTGTTCCACCCGCTTTCAGTAGCTCCGCTGTAATTCCATCCTCGCCCGGGGCCTTGCCTGTAAGTGGAGAGCCATTCTAATCTCGCTCAGACTAACGTCCGGGATATCATCGGAATAGTGTCGGATAAGACTTGCTCTAAGAATCGTTACTCACACTTGCGTCTGGCTCCAACAAGGATGTGTACAGCTGCCCATAGAACCTCTCAATCTCACTCAGAATCTCAGGTGTCCCGCAAACGATGTTGCCACACTCAGTCTTCAGCTTTGACAGTTGGCTCTTACTGGCAGACAGATCTCTGGCAAAGACTTTGGAGCTCTGGTTCCACTCGATCACTTCTTTAATACGATCAGTATTAAAGTTGCGTAAGTCTCGCCGCATGCATTTGGAGATCTGTCTGTTCAGTTGCCTGTCAAATCTGTTGACGATTGCAGCCTCATCTCCCGTCTAACAGCCATGAGATTAAGAGTGTGATCAGAGAGTTTTTGTGTACTTCTGCGGCGGGTCTTGCAGAACTTAGCTCCGACCTCATGGATAGTTTCCACGAGCTCGTCATTCATATCGTCCACTGCATTGCAATCTTCTAGGCACTGAAAGCGGTTACGTAACTCGAGCTGAAAGGTTTCGGGATTCTGGATTAGACCACGAGGGGGACGGAGCGTTGACATCATTAGACGAGACCTCTTCAACTTAACGTTTAGGTTCAGTGTGCCTCTAACCATTCGGTGATCGATGCCAGTTTTCACCCTTGCAATCACTGAGACATCACTGAACAGTTGGCGTCTAGTCGTCATAATGAAGTCATTCTCATTATTTGTCGAATCGTCGGGGCTCGAACAGGTCCACTTTCTGTGGGGCTGCTTCTGGAAGAAAGAGTTCATCATAAAGATTCCCTATTTCTTCATAAGGTCGGCCAGCTGCTGGCTCCTTCGGTTCCGTTGCCCTACTCCAAATTTCCCTACCTTCAGCTCACCGCTTTCTCTTATGTCTAGTTTTGCGTTGAAGTCAGTACAGTATCAGCATGAGAAGATACTGGAGCTAGAAGAAGAGGTAGAAAAGTTGCGCTGGCATATTATTGGATTATCCGAGGTCCGAAGAGAGGGGGAGGACACGGCAATCCTTGAGTCCGGCAACTTGTTCTATCACCGGGAGGGCAACCATCTGTTCCAAGGAGGTGTCGGATTTATAGTCCACAAGTCTCTCGTCAACAACGTTGTAAAGATTGGGAGTGTGTCGACGAAGGTCGCGTACCTGATACTCAGAATCACCAAACGGTATTCGCTGAAGGTCATACAGGTTTACGCACCAACCTCGGCACATCCCGATGAGGAGGTGGAGGAAATGTATGAAGATATTTCCAGAGCCATGCATTCCTTCAAAACTCACTAATAATCTATACTCTATAAAAAATCTATACTCGATTAAAAATCAAAATGCAGATAATTTGTTACCCCTTAAGACTAAGATGCTATGCTTCGTTTTCCGTAAAGAGGGTCTTCTATTCTCTACATTCACTATAGCAAACATAGCATTAATAAGCTGCTATTTTACGATGGTATTCTCTGAGAGCACGGTCCTTCACCTCTTTCTTATCTTAGTTTTCAATTTTTGACACTGTAATATTTTA